CGCGTATCGAATTAATCCCGAAACGATTTTAATCTTAATCGTTCTTCCCTGTCAACCGACCCCTATTCACCCCGCCAAATAAATACAAATATTAAACGCGGAGCCCAAGGTTCGAGGGAACCTTCGAAGGTTCGAAGGAACGTAGCGAAATGGGAAATGGTTATATTGGGGAGGGTGGTTTTCGATCAAACGTTTCTCGAATTCTAATCTTCGATAAAGGTATAATAAATCGCGAGTTAATTCAAAGGGTGCTCCTCGCTTTTCCGCGAGGAGTGTAGCAACAACCAACGCACAATCATCCTTGGGCCACTCCGATCAGCTACGGAAATATTCGACGGGAGAAAAGAAGGTGGCGAAGGGGGTGGGAGAGGGTGTGAGGAAGCGGGAGGAGAAAGAAGAAAAAGAAGGACAGGATAGGGGGTAGCGTAGATAAGTCGGGGTTGTCGGGGCATCTGCTTTCTTTCGTGCTTCCGGCCATCTTCTGCCACCCCTTTCGTCCTTCTTTTTGGGGTGGAAACGGCTCCGGTCCATTCTCGTCGAGACGTTGTATCGGTCCAACACACTGAGACCTCTGTGCATAGAGGGGGCGAGGGGTGGACACGGCGGAAAAGAGAAGAGAGAAAGAGAGAGAGAGAGAGAGAGAAAGAGAGAGGAAGAATACGGTGGGCGGAGGAGGAGGGCGAAGAAGAACGTGCTGAATAGAAGATTGGAACTCTTTCTGCGGTGACGGCGCTTCTTCCGGCGGGGTGGCTGATAGTGCCGGCTATTTCCGGTGGCCACCGTGACATTGCTATCGCCGAGCAACGTCTACTATACCCCCGAGGCCATCCACGTTAAACGTCCTCTCCTCTCCTCTCCAAGGCTCACGTGTATCCACTCTCTCTCGCCCACCCTCACTTCCACCCCCTATATACAAGTATTTTTGCATCGACGCTCGAAGATTTTTGCCCGAGTTTCTTGCCACGTTCTCGTGTCCTGAATTCTGCACGCCTTTCGCTGGAGGAGACTTCCTCAAAGGCGTCGTACCTACACTCTTTATATCCTATTCCTTTTTTTTTCTTTTTCTTTTTCTTCTTCTTTTTTCCGTAAATCGTCGACGTTGGTTTATCTCGGAAAGGAGGGTGGGGAGAAAGAAGAGAGAGAGAGATTCGTGGAGAAAATAGTTCCTTTTTTTTCTTCTTCTTTTTTATCCGCGCCAGAGGA